AGGAAGAACTGTTTGAGGGGCTTCCAGGATTTTCTCTCTTGTATGAGCGTGAACGTGTCTCGAGTCTACTGGAGAGAGTGCATCCGTATCCACACGTATTACGTATTGTAAAATATAATATCACTATAATTGCAATTCTTTGTGTACATGTATTTTCAAATTTAAACAAGTACTAACACATAAGTGTCGTTTAATAACAAAGGTTTGTTTACTTTTTGCTCAGTCTAGTGTCAACGAGTACGTATAGCTCTAGTACTAGTCTATAGCGGCCCTTAGCTCCTTCCTCCTGCGATGGAGCGAAGGGCTACTCTATAGTACCAGGAGAAAATTCGTCAGAAAACTTACTTATAACAAATATTTACAAATGACGTTTGTTCTCTTGTTTTGAAGGTTTGTTGAGTCCAATGCTCTGGTCCAAGCATAGATATACACAACACTATGTGTTGTATATATCTATGGTCCAAGTCAAAGCAAATAAAAGCAGCCAAGCAGAGGAGCCCAAAACGCTGCCATGGATATAACGTGTAGAAAAAAAAATTCGCACCCCGGACATAGCGTTTCTGGCAGAATTCTCTCAGATACATGTACGCGTATATATTCGCCGCAAAACTCGTCATTTTAACAGATACTTGGCACATGCAACCCAGGATATGACCGCCTGCCACATTACAAATATTATAGAATTTCATATTTGTTTTTCAGGCTAAAATGCGGGTCCGCGCATGCGCAGTAACTCACTAAATAACTGATATTTTGATTCACAATCGTATTTAAACTGGAGAGGGGGTACCGTGTGTAGATTTATGGGATAAAACTCTATTGCTATGGCTCTGGTAAAAGATGGTACAACGCCCTAGCTTTCAGGGTACCCCGGACATAGTGTTTCTGGCAGAATTCTCTCAGAATGAGATACATGTATACTTGTATATATTCGCCGCAAAACTCTTCATTTTAACAGATACTGGGCATATTCAGCCCAGGATATGACCGCCTGCCACATTACAAATATTATAGAATTTCATATTTGTTCTGCATGTTAAAGTGCGGGTCCGCGCATGCGCAGTAACTCACTAAATAACTGATATTTTGATTCAAAAACATATTTAAAATGGAGCTGGGGTACCCGTGTGTAGATTTATGCGATAAAACTCTATTGCAATTCGCTTGTAAATGATGGTACAACGCCCTAGCTTGCAGAACACCCCGGACACAGTGTTTCTGGCAGAATTCTCTCAGACATGTATACGTGTATATATTCGCCGCAAAATTTATCATTTTAACAGATACTGGGCATATGCAACCCAGGATAAGACCGCCTGCCACATTACAAAATATTATATAATTTCATATTTGTTCTTCAGGCTAAAATGCGGGTCCGCGCATGCGCAGTAACTCATTAAATAACTGATATTTTGATTCACAAACGTATTTAAAATGGAGCGGGGGTACCCGTGTGTAGATCTATGAAATAAAACTCTATTGCTATGGCTCTTGTAAAAGATGGTGCAACGCCCTAGGTTGCAGGATACCCCCGACATTGTGTTTCTGGCAGCATTCTCTCAGATACATGTATACCTACATGTATATATTATTCGCATATATATTCGCATATTATGCAATGTATTTAAACTGTAAAATAATGTATTTAATGGACGTGTGGGCGCGCTTGCATGTATGTGCGTGTGCATGCTTGCGTGCGTGAGTGTGCTCGTGTATGCTGTGAGAGCGCGTATCTTTGTGCGTATGTGTTCCTATACGGTCG